GTTCGGAAAATACGCAGGGTAAAATTTAAAAGATAATGGTGCTTTACAATATCAAAAAATAGTTTTTATATTTTCCTCCAAGCTTACAAATGTTTATTGATTGACCTGTTAGCTCATCAAATCACGGCACATCGTAATATATGCAAATCGTCTAACTAGCTGACGGTGTGACAGGAAAGGCTTATGAGATACGCTTGAAAGAACGGATAAGAATGGTACGACTTTAGGTAATAGTTGAAATTTGTAATTTTTAGATTTTAAATCTGTAAAGTTTATCAATTATTTTGTCCATGTAGTAAAAATTAAGATTACAAATTATGTTATTGTAAAAATAAAACGGATTTTATGGTGAAAACGTTATGTGAACCTATGGGTCGTCTGGTGTTCTACTGTATATTTGATGTTTGTATCGAAGTGAGGTATGTTTCACAAAAAATTTTTTGTACGTTTTTTAGTTTTTTATTTGTGTTCGGTTGTATCCATATAATATTTTATATATATTTAGTTGGCTGAGGAGGGGAAAATGCCCGAAACGTAGATGTATAGCAAAATGTTCTAACTGAATAAAGATTGAAACTTGCCTAGTGTTGAAGAAAAGTCACTTCATTGTGCCAGTATACAACTGTTATTAATTGTTTGTCAAACATTTGGTAAGCTTGAATTACTTAATATATCTGATAATTTCATTATAGTCACACTTAATTACAACAAGGATTTATTTTATGGGATATCGCAGTTTAATGCTAATTCTTATTTATCTAACTGTAACAGTTTGATAGTGGATTTTGAAGGATACATCTCTGATTATGTAAATAATGATGATCTTTTAATACTAGAAAACATTGATGCTAGAATTGCCAATGAACTAGATTCACTATAAATTAGTTCTAATACAAATTTTTATAACTCTCGTTCTTTTAGCGATATAGTTCTTAATAAGAGAAAAAAATATTTATGTTTAATAAAATCTTTTTATTTACTAATTCTAAATGATCATTTTATAATTGATTTCCCTGCTAAATATACATTTGACTCTATCATAGGTATTTCAATTATAGATTTGATAATTTCAAATTCTAATCTAGTGGATAACTTGAATAATTTACAGCTTTTAAATAAATTTAATTCTGATCATATTCCTATCTCAGTAAGTTTCAAATTTTAGAGTCACTTTTGGCTTATATCTTTTTCATCCAAGATTAAGTAAATTAATTGAAAACTCTCAAAGTTAATGACTAGTCTTTTATTGTGAATTCTAGATATAATGGGATTAAAGAAAAAAAATTTTTTTGGACTCTTGAGCTTTCTATTCAGCATTGCTGTCTTTACTGATAGAATCAGCATCTTAATGTGATAAGTTGACTGAGCATAGATTTTTGACTTTATATGGAAAAATTCAGGTTGATTGTGATAGTTTGAAGTTAATTGCATCTTGAAATCTTTTAGAAAGGATAGAACTAAGGAGGGCTTTCTTAGTCCTTTCTTGGCTATTAATCTTGCTTTACATTTTGATAATTATAGTCCACTATTAGATGACCTAATTTATTTTGAAAAATTAGTTTGTTTTGAGTTTTTTGCAAAATAATAAGACCTCTGGTCTTGATAAAATTTAAAATAAAATGGTAAAATATCTTTCTCCCAATATTTTGGTGGACTTGATAACAATGTTTAATGATTTTAAGTTAAATTGTAGATTTCCTTCCTCTTGGAGGAAAGTGTGTTTAAAAATGTTATATAAGAAAGGTCCCAGATCAGTGTCAACAAATTACAGACCAATATCCTTAATCAATGTACTTAGAAAAATCTTTTCTTCCATATTGGTAAACCATCTGAATCTTTGGATTGAGGAATTTATTATTATATCCCTGAATCAGGGAGCTTTCTTCAAAAATGGGGTGTTGGCTATAATCTGTTTATTCTACAGGGAATTATTCAGTCAGTGTTTTCAAAAAACACCGTAAGTTATATGTAGAATTTATCAATTTGAAAAAAGAATTTGATTCTATAGATCACAACATTTTATGATGGAAACTTGGTAAGTGGGGTATCTCCAATTCATTTAATTATTTATTCTAACAGCTATTCTCCAATACCAGTTACATTATTGAGGAAAATGTTATCAGAATGGATTCTTGGACATTGAATAAAGGATTACCTCAGGGTGAGCCTCTGAGTCTTTCTCTCTTCAATTTATTTATAAATGATTTTCCAAATTCTATACAGAAAAATATAATTATGGATAAAATGTTGTCTTCACAGATTGAGTTTGATTGTCTTTTATATGCATATGATATTATGTTGCTTTCTAATTCTGTTGTTTCTCTTCAATCAAAGCTTAATATTTTGGTTGATACTGTAGAAACAATGGTTTGACAATCAATGAAAATAAATCAAAAATACTGATTTTTCAGAGCAGAAAAATTTCAGAACGCTGATATTTGAATAATGAATAAAAATGAACCATCTATAACTTCAAAATTCAATTGATAGATTATAAACAATGGGTGGTTTTTGTAAAGTTTGGTGTCCTGTTCAACTAGTCAGCAGCTGATATTGATAGAAACATAAGAAAAGCATTATATCATCATGCCTATTCAGCAGCACTACTTGTTGCTGGGTTGCTGAAACTAAAGATGGTAAAATGGACATTGAAGAGGCATGAGGAAGAGACAGAAGTGACCACTGACAAGAAGAGAATTGCATCAAAAAAATTAAAGAATTTTTGAGGGAATCTAAGGACTGGAGTCTGCAAACTATTAAGGCAAAAACTTGCATTCCACACAAAATGGTTTGGTTTATATTAAAGGAAAAACTTGATCTGAACAGTCATGAAACTTGGATTCCAAACACATGGACAGAGGACAAAAATTGAACCAAACTGCAGCATATAAAACAAATTTGCTTGAATTTCATAAGATAAGGAAGCTCCTTGAGCATACACTTTCAATTGAGATGATGTGGATTTCCATGTACTAATCAGCCAGACAAGGATCCAAAGTTTGGATACACCCAACTAAACCATGGAAATTCAAGTTAAGAGAGGCTTTCAACAAAAGAAGAGGATGCTCTTAATGGCCATGGATTAATAAAGCCTGATGCTGTCCCCTAAAAGATGCCAAAATGTATGCTTTGCATGTATATCGACAACATTTCCAGAAACAAATGAAAGGTCAGTTTATTATTTGTACAGCAGTTCCACCTTGAAAGAATAATAAGTTTTTATGGCCATGGATTTTCATGGAATTACTTTTTGGTGGCTCTTGCTTGAAAAAGACAACTGTGATTGCCTAAACCTATAAGGACTTTATTAAGGACTATATCAAAAAATGGAAAGTAAAAACAACACAGAACATCCCATTATTGTTCATGACAATGCTAAATCCCATGTTGCTAAATTAGTTCAGTACTATATTACTTGGATGAAAGAATTTCACTTTGGATTCAATATGTCTGTTCATCCAATCTTCAGCCATGTAATTTAAACTGCTTCAGTCCTCTTAAAGTTGCCATAAAGGATACTAAATATCAAAATTAGGATGAGATTGAAACTGTATTAAATAATGTGATCCAGCATGATTCTATTACATGGCCTCTATCAATGTGTTAAAATGCTGCCAAGGTGAAGGGAACAAGTCATTGCACAAGAAGGAAACTATATTTAATTATTGAAAATTTCAATATTTTTGATCTTATACCTTTTATTTATTTTAATAAAATCACCGATTGCTTTGTTCTGATCATCATGATAATTGTCTATTATATTCCAGAGATGTTACTAAATTTTCATTTAACAATTTATTGAAAATAATGCATTAAATCTAAATTTTTACATTATACCATGATAAATTTATGGAAAAACTTCCATTAATTAATTAATTACTGATCAACATACCAATGTTAATTCTTGATCTTCATTTTCTTCGAGATGATTAGGTAATGCTTTCTTTTTCAAAGATTCATTAACAGGAGCCGATATCACAAGACTGGGAACAGAATTTTCTGGTTCAATTTTCGCATGCTTGGGTCCATTCTTCTCTTGATCTTTCATCAATGAAGGTATTGAAAACTTGCGTTTTCTCATTATCACAATACTCTAAAAGCAAATATAAATGCCTAATTTAATTTTAAAAATTTAATTTAATTTAAATGTACACATTAATAAATTTACAAATAAATAATCAATAGAGAGGTTGCGGCTGTCGTATTCAGCCCGAAACGTGAATGGTAGATGGTCGAGTGCCACCATCTGGCAATTCTAGACGGTCGATAATGGCGTTCACTACATCTAGCATGGAGAGTAGAAGATTGGTTTAAACTTCTTTTTTTTTTGTGTTTGGGGTTAAAATTACGACCTATTTTATTAAAATAATAATTATTTAAGCATTTACGAATAATATTGTACAGAAACAGACAATTTTAATCCAGAAATTATTTAATTTTCAATTTTTTAGCAAGTGATGTGAAGTGAATTTACATGTATTTAAATATAGAATTTACATGTATTTGCCTTCATAGTAGTTTATCTTAAGGTAGGTTTGTTCTTCCACGGCATCTTCTACCATCAACAGCATAATACGTTTGTAAATTTTCTAAAAATTAATTTTCCGAGCTGCTTTCAAATTTACATAAGCCACTACTTCCCTCCGCAAATGTATGAGGTAGGCCAATTGTTTGTTCATACGGTAGGAGACACCACACTAATTAAAAATAATTATTTAGTGTTATTAAACATCCTATAAATACTTTAAAATAGTTTAATTTGTTTATTTACCTTCACTGGTAACCCTCAATGTTAAATGTATCTGCCATTTTTTCAACAAATTTCCTGTGAGTCAATGTGTGACGTTCACTGAGTCATGTGATGTTGTGAATGTGCGCTGCAACAATTTTTTCTTGGAGTTAAAATGTAAACCGTGTACTTCTGCTTGCCATGTACAAGTTCATTTGTACTTGGGGCCGCAACCTCTCTAATAATAAATTTTGATAAATTTATCAATACTTAAATGTAAAGTGGGGATGTCATTCTTTCCCACACTAAACGTTTGAAAATCTGAAGACCCCAAAATTGTCAGATGTGTCAATGCATAAGTTGGTGATTTTCTGCTGATCTTTTTACATGTAATTACACCACACTTAATTGCCACTCCTTGAATTTGATGATTTTGAAAAATCCTGTAGTTATCTTTTCTGTAAATGCCAGAATTCGACATCACACATTTAATTTACAAGATACTATTTTGTTTACAAAACAATATTCTTGATCAGGCTCCCCTATAGAGCTATCCAAACTATACAATCGTATGGACTAATCAGAAAGGAATTCAGCTGGAAATAAATGTTGGGAGGACTGAGATATTTCTCACAAGGACGTGAAAATGATTTTTCTGTATTTTTTGAGCACAGAATAAATCTGTGAAAACATTTAAACTGTTGTGAGGTTCTGGACTAAAGTCCAAAATTGGGTTGATTACATAATATATAAAATCGTTGAACCTAGATTAAAACAAAGTGAGAACAAAAGAACAAAGGTTATGTACGGGAGAAATAAATGTAGCTATCAAAATAAAGTGATGTGGAGGTGAGAAAAGGCATCCCAGGATGACTCTTGCATGTGTTAGACGATACATCAACATCAACCGAGAGATCAAGCCTTGACATCAACTCTCGTATAGCAACAGATCGAAGTTAGGGTAAATTGGAAAAAAGGGGAAGGTTTGACAGTTGGGGAGACATCACATATGGTCATTAAAATTCTGAACTGATGGAGAAAGGAAAAGTAAACAACGGACTAAACAGAACCTTAGTTAGAACCTTAACAGAACAAGTGCAAAGTTCTTGATTTTGTCTCCTGGTTAGAGGTGAAGGATGGTATCAGGTAAACTTTCTAAAATGGACCTTCCCTGTAACCCTATAACACTGTATCCAGGTGAAAACCAAGACCATTTCGGTCTTTGTTTTCACCTCGATACAGTGAAGAGACCAATCAGGGAGCATGATAGGGATTAGAAATGACAACTTGTCATGAAATTCTATAAAAACCCCAATTTTAAGGTCAGGAGAGGCAGTCTCTCCCCTCTGGATCTACCTAACTTTACTGTGTGTCACCAACAGAGCCTCCTCATCTGTCTCATCTGCTAGTGCAAGAACCAACACCCAAATTTCATCACAACCTCTTTCCTATCCAACAAACAACTCTTCTCACCTGCTCCAGGGCTGTGGTCATCCAGAACAAATGCATACACTACTGGAAACTGAACTTTTCTCAACCCATTGACTCTGAGAAGACACTGTGTTGGAAAATTTATAGTGTATCAGAAGTAAGACATGTAACATATTTTTCTCTTCAATACACAGTTTTGTAAAGCCAATGCCTCCAATGCTACCACCCACATACACAAAATGCTTAGATCATCCCTGACATGGAAATAATGTTCCACCCATTAGTTGGCAAGCTCATATGGTTGAAGGTCATATTGCCCCAGGCTATCTCATGGCAACAAGCATTCAAGGTCATAGCAACTTGCAGACAATGCACATCATGTATAGTGAATATCCATGACATCAATTTTACCTCTTGTAACAATTGTGAGACCTCCATGGTGTCATTTTTGATGATCTGATGTCATCAAAAATGACGTCAGTGCAGAAAATTTCCACATTATGCATATGATGTGAAAATAAGAAAAATTTGAATGCAATTTCATGTGTAAGGCAGAAATTTTCCACAGTGGTTTTTTAAGGTTCAATGATAAGCAGAAAAATTTTTTTTGACCAAAATTTTTATAGTCAAAAGGATAGCATGTAGCATGACGATGTCATGGAAGCACAGCTAAGTAACTCAATTTGTGAAAAATCACATTTTTCTCACCCTTTCCAGCAACAATTGTTTAATAAACAAAATTTTTCAGCCACATTCAGGGACCTGCAGGTTAAGCATATACAAAATCAAATGTCTATCTATAGCAAGTTTAACTAAACCTGTAATAATATTTCTATAAATATACAATATATAAGATATTAGTTTCAAAAATAATAATGCCAAAGAAAGTTGGCAATGTTCCAAAGTTTGAGCTTGCTATAGGCATTTGATTTTGTACACACGTAATCTGATGCAGGCCCCTGAATGTGGCTGAAAATGTTTGTTTATTAAACAACTACTGCTGAAAAGTGTGAGGAAGGTGTGATTTTTCTGTGTTATACATTAGTTCCTGCTTAAAAATTGAATAAGTTGATGAAAAATTCCCACAAAAAACTAATAGGTGTAGAAATTGCTCTAATGAATGTAATCATGTGTTAAGGATATAATCCTTTATGAAAATTATTAGTTTTCATAAATAACCATCAAGTAATCAAGTAATATATCAAGTAATAAATAGATAAAACTGTATTTCAAATAATACTTACCTGATAATGTTGAACTTGTGCAGGTCTTGGCCTTAAGCAATCTTCCCACCCATTGGATCCACGTTTATAAGGAGAAGAAAGAAAAAATTCTTTTTTTTTCTTTTTGTTAAATGAAGGTATATTTTCTTGAATTTCAGGTTTTAACTTTGGTGACAATGGCATCAATTCCTCAAGAACAGGAGGTTCAGGCGTTGGATGATTTTCAGAGAGGATGTTTTGCTCTAACATGTCTGATTCCATAGCTGTACATGATGGAAGTATTGGTAATCGTGATCCAATACTTAAATCTTCTGGGATCAATTGACTGTCATCAATACAATGTAACTGATGATGTTTGGACTTTTTTGATTTAGTTCTTTTCTTTTTCTTGTAACTGAATATATTTTTACATTTACTTTTTTTTTTCTTTTTCTTTTTTTTGCTTTGACTTGATTTTTGTACATATTGTTTCAGATATGCCTAAAATTATGAAAAATTTTGATAAATATTCCTTTATACATATAAGATATCATTCAATAACAGAAATAAAAATCCACATTGCTTTTAGGTAGCCAAATGTTTTCTTACACACAAAACAATTCAGATGAATAAAATTTGGGCTGCATTGTTATGAACAAGAAATGATATATAAACAATGACTCATAACCTAATTTTAATTGAAGTTCTTGCAAATGTTGAATGTTCTATCAGATATTCAATATTTAAATGCTATAATCTATTTCACTAAGTTAAGTCTGGATCTGAAGGAGTTTGAAAAATGCTTAGTACAAGGAAATAAAAAGATCTATACATAAGATCGTATTTTGTTCTGTGTGTGGACTATGAAATTGAGAGTGGAATACAATATAATCGATAAATTTCATTAGTTATACATGCTCATTGTTATTTACTTTATCACTATTTTGACCAGTTTTGCATTTACTTGTAGACAAATATTACTTTAAAGATTATAATGATAAAATGTTTATCCTACTTAAAGACTTTATTTAAAACTTGAATTTTAGTTAATTTTATTCTTTTGTTTTGTAATAGTCTTATTTTGATTAATTTTAAATACTTTTAATATTTATATTTACACATTAATATAAAAAAACTGTTGTTTGATTCTATAATATTGAACATTCTATTGAATATTGATCTAAACATTCTATTCTGTAACTGAAGCTGACCTAAAAAACCCAAAATTATTTTTACATGTAATAAAAATTTTGGCTACTTGAAATGAAATGTGAATTTCAACCATAAAACATTCCAGTAACAGAATGATTCTTTGAAATGCTCTACATTCAAAAGATCCAAAATAATATTCGTGTCAGTAAATGATTGTGCTTTTTTGAAAAATTTTGTTTAGAAGCACTGAAGATGGCTTTTAAAAGGTTGAAAATGTTCCAATATTAAGATCTGTTGGCTGAAGTTATAGGTTAGTTAGTGTTTTAATATTATATATTGTCAATTTGGAAGTGTTAAGATACTGTGGTGATGCCTGCCAGAAATTCTATTAGTTGCTATTCATTCAAAAATTTATTCTTGTTCTATGTTTAAATAATTTTGTAGTGCTCTGTCACTATTTTTGTTTCCCAGCCTTATATATATTAGGTACTTTGTAGTCATTCATATTGAGTTTTCTACCTTTTGTCAAGTTACTAGTATATTTATATTTGTATTTTTTTTCATTTATCACACACCACCTTTGACGGCTTTGACGGTAGTGGTGAAGACTCTCAAGCCCCTGACCATGAGGACGACAGTGAGAAGGGTTGCCATCGATGACTTGGAAAGTAGGATGACTTAACAGATTTTTTTCATTTGGGAAGAGAATCCATTTGCTTCGAGGAACAATTGACTATTGAGTCAAGGACTTTTGTGGACATCAAAGAAGATTAAGGAAATAACCTTTATCTAAGGTTATTTTGGTGTTTTTCTTTGTTAATTGTTGGGTATCAATTGTACAGTTATACACTAGTAACAATGGACATCGGGTTATGCTAGTAATGATAAGTATATTAATGGAAACTAACATGCAATCATCACTGTAAATATTGTAAATATCTTTTTTTTAGACTAAGTATCACTATAATTCCTAGTAATAAGTATATTAGAGTTATGGGGTGTTAAGCCCCTAGTGTATGTTACATGAGTGACAACTTAAGGAAGGTTAGATCTGCATGCTGTACATTAATTTCTGTATCATAAAGTAGTTGTTTAGAATTACTTATTGTGTGACCTCCTTTTCTTGTATCTTAATATCCTTACCCAACACTAAGTCTGAATCTTGGTGATCCCCAGACACTACAATTTCAAACTTTAAATTTCTTTATGTTCTAGAACAGCATTGGGGAACTTATAGCCCACTGGCCAATTCCATCCCTCAAACTTATGTAATCTGCCTCAGGGTTGTTTTCAAAATATATAGTAGAATATCATTTTAACAGATTGCAGAACAACGGATTTTTTTTCCAAGTCCCATCAAATCAGTATAATTTTACCTCCTTTTAGTGGATCTGTAACTCAAAATAATAGATTTTTTCTATCCATTGAGATCATCCATTGTAAACTTCACATTTTTTCTATGCTTAGTTAATATTTGTTTAATTTATAGAATTCAACGATGCACTTGTCACATCTGGAATACATCCAGTACAATTGAAGAAATGTACAAACAAAGTCAGTAGGCTGATATGATTGAGGAGGAACCACCTAGTAAACATTCTGATGCTGGTCTAAGTGTAGTGCTGAAATTTAGCAAGGCCATCGAGTCTTTCCAAGGTATGAAGACCTTCCTTTCATGTTTCAGCATAAAAGAACAGAATGTACGTGACATTAATATCAAGTAATTGTATTAATAGGCAGAAAAGCAGCATCAAAACAAATTAGAACAAATTTTTTAACAAATTGTGAAGTCAAGTGAAGTGCTAATGAGCTATGCAATCTTGTAACAAACATGTTTCTATAGACTAAAGAACAGAGATCTTGAGAGATTGAATAATTTCAAGTACTGGCATTTCTTATATGTAGGGGATTAAAACACAATTTTTTGAACAACAGATATTTTCCTGGGTATTTGGGAAATCATTGTTTGTGATATAATGGATTCTCAGAACAACAGATGATTTTCAGTGGACCAAGCAATCCATTAAAACTATATTCTACTGTATGTATAAGGACCTTGAATAAGTTCTCGCTGTTTTCTAACAGATGGCGTTACCAGAACCACGTGTGTTTATTTTTAGATGGTGACGCATCTGTAAGGAAGTACAATAAGCGACCTTGAAATTCAGTAGTGTAAACAACTTATTTTTTCATTGTGTTAAACATGTCTAGTTTTGTGCCAAAAAAAGAGTATTTGCAGGGAATTTTATTGCACTATTTTATTCAAAAAAAATCTGCAGCTGAAGCACACAGAATTCTTGTTGAGACTTACGGCGACCATGCTCTGTCGGAAACAACATGCAGAGATTGGTTTAGACGCTTCCAAAAATAATGATTTTGATGTTGAAGATAAAGAACGATCTGGTGCACCAAAAAAGTTTGAAGACAAGGAATTAGAGGCATTACTTCATGAAGACTCATGTCAGACGCTAGCTGAACTTGCAGAATCATTAGGAGTTGATCACACAACAGTTTCGAAACGTTTAAAAGGATTANTTACCTTTAAAATACAATTCTAATAATAATGAAAATAACATAAGGTTATTTAATTTTAATGTGAAAAATGTGCACGATTTTCTTTGCACAACTTTGTAAAATCTGGTTGCTTTTTGGTCAGCTTCAGTCTTGAGTCATCTTTGAGTTTAAGTCAGTGACGATGTTTAGTTTTCATGTTTGTCATGGCCGAAAATCCACTCACGCAGAGGTACATTGTGCAAAATGGTAGTAAATATTTTATTGCCACTTCACTGACACGATGATAATGATAATTGTACAATTAACACAAATTGTGTTAATTGTACAATTTTTGTTTCTTGCATAAGAATTTTGTTTAGGTATTGTCATAAATGCATTTTTTTGATAAAATTTTGAGAATATTTTTAGTTATAAATAAATGAATTTGTGCATTCCACATCATGTTGTAAATTGCCAAATTTTTGATGGTCCACCCATTATCTTTTTGATTGCTTCATCTCATGCATTTATATTTTAAATTGACCGATTTTAGATTGCCGTGAATACCCCGTCATGCAATTTTGCATACCCCTGGGGTACGCGTACCACTAATTGGAAACCATGGCAGTAGAGCATCAATTATCTGAATATCAATTAACTGAAACATCAATTAACCAAAAGTTTTCCAGTCAACAAATTTAAATTTCCGCTAGTGCTGTGGCACTGCAATCTTTGACTGTGTCTTGGGCTACTCCAATATTATTTTTGTTGGTGTGCATGTTTTAGCTGGCAGCACTGGCATGACCACGAGAGAGTACTTAAGGACGTGCCAGGATTTGAACGAATTTCAACATGGGATAGGTTAATATATTTTTTCATACATAATCAGTTATCCGAAAAATCGATTTTCTGAACAACCCCAGTCCCCAAATGATTCGGGTAATCGATGCTCTACTGCAGGGCTTCTTAAACTATGGGTCACGACCCCATTTGGGGTCGCTTAGCGAAATCTTGGGGTTGCGAGATTTTAATGCAAAATATTGAAAATAATTTGTGAGAGTTTGAAAATGGCATGCTTTGTGTCACTTCTGGTGCAGCGAGACAATGATTTAGCAACACTGTAGTGTGAACTAGAGTAGTGTTGTCACTTTTCAGTGTATTCAGTTGTCTCTGTTCCATTGTAACACAAGAGTGAACTGTGGTAGTACACCATTATTGTTTTTGCAAATTTGTATATATCTTTATTTTATATTTTTTTTGGGTCGCGAAAAAAATCACAGTCGTAAATGTGGTCGTGAATAAAAAAGTTTAAGAAGCCCTGCTCTACTGTAATGGTTACAGAAACTGTATAAATAAGGATGGTGTGATAATATCTACAGAATGGCAATCATCGGTGAACAACTCTCTGAAAGAAAACAATACTACAGAAATAAAAAATGCACATGTGATTCCCATCCATTATCCATTAAATTAAAAATTGATAATATTTAGGATTACATTTTAGATAAAAGTTTCTATTATTTAATAATATTTGCTATAGATAAGTATGTATAATTTCAAATAATCCCACATTCATTTAAATGCTAAGAAAAACAATCTCAAAAATATCCTAAATTTGGAATTCTCAGTCTAAGTTTACATTTCTTCTGTGTAAGCCTCACTCACACAGAAAATGGCCAAAAACATTTGCTATTGTAAAAATTAAAAGGCATTTTCCTGCTGGAAGTGTGTTAAAATTTTTTGCACATTATTGAATAATTATTAAATCTGGAAGAATGGACTTTGACTTTGAAGGAATTTTTAGTTGCTTCTGAAGAGAGACAGTCGCTCATATCTGGCAACATGCCAATAAGGTA